CCCCAAAACCCCAAAACCCCAAAACCCCAAAACCCCTATTATGTGACTCTTTATTGATACATAAACATATTAGCTTTATCTTCTGGGCAATAGCTTCTGAATTTGAACATTTCTCCTTTAGGAGTATCTAAAAATAAGAATGAATAACCATCGCTCAAAATTAACTTACCAATTGTTTCTAGTAATCCGACCACTCCGTCAGCAATGCAGCTTGCCAAAATCACGAAGGCCAACAGCCACACCAAAATCTGAGTTTTTCCTGATTTCTTGACAGCGCCTCCAATTATGGTGATTCCTGCGGCTGTGCCGACCACCGAAAAGAATGCCAGCCAAAATGCGAAGTCGTAGATGATGTATCCATTGAACATAAACATGATTGTTGAGCTTAGAGTTGCAAACATCGCCATGAACATGGATGTACCTGAAGCCACAGTGGGAGGAACTCCGAAATCGAGGAACAAAGGAGTAAACAAGATACCTCCACTGAGACCAACTGCTCCTGATATGAAACCTGCGATAATAGCAAAGAGAACAAATCTGACAATTGATTTAGAATCCCAGACAATGTCTCCTTTAACGAATTGGTACCCGCATGAAAGTTTGTCTTGATATTCTCTCTTTAGAAGCATTATGTTGACGCCACTCAAGATAAACAGGATGACAATCTCTGCTGCAAGGAAAATGTAGTCTGAGACAGTGCATCTATAAATAATTACATGATTACGATGATAGCTTCTTACCTTCCAAAATTAGGTCCTGCAATTGAATCAAAAGTCTTAGTACCTCTAAGCAAAGCAAAGATAGTAATAGTTAGGAAAGGAAGTAGTACAACTAATATTGTTCTAATCCTAAAGTGCGATTTCTCGAGCTTAAGGTACATCTTCAATTTCGAATTAAGTTCATCAAGTTTATAAGTACTTCTCCTTTCTCCAATGAGCAGCTCCTTGTCTTCATTCTCGATTCCTTGAGTATCATTCTCAATTCTTTCTCCTCTTGCAATAGATTGTCTAGAGTTTTCTCTCACACTCTGCCTAAGCGGGTTTAGCTTAATATCCAAAGGACCAGATCCATTATCATGAGTTTGAGACAGCTTGCTATTCAAGGATATTAAGATGGCAATTTGATTGAATTAGCTCATTAGCTATATACTTACTCTATATATTGGTTAGCTCAAAATGATAACGTAAGATTAGAACAAAATTCAAAAACCTCAAATGTGACAGCACAAGGGGATTTGATCAGGAAAGAAAAGACCAAATTTGAATTCAAAATTAAGGATTGCTTACCTTTATCGTTATGTTGCATCAATGGTTGGAACATATCCTCTCTTGATCCTACATTCTCTTTAGTTCCATTAATATTCCTTGTAGCGTCTATAGTGCGTTAGTTAAGCATGTTGGAATACATATGTCTATGATCAAAATTTATTGAAAACTTAACTACATAAAAGATTCAAGGCCGATATTGGCGTACCTCTACAGTTTTCAAATGTATCCTACTTGAATTAAGGAGTCAACGAATTATAAAATGTTATAAACTAATATTTTGTGCAAAATCTTCTTAAATTTTTGAGAAAACATGGCATAATTTGAATGAATTGCTACATCTCGTAATAATTGGAGATCTTTTCTAATATTTGGAGAGAAAACTTGTGGATCAGTGCAAAAAGAAAACTTGCCTCTAAGAGGAACTCTTTCTTCATCTTTCTGTTCTTTCTTTTCCTGGGCGATCTTTTTTTCCTTCTTATAAGCATCGATTGCCTTCACGAATGCTTTGTAGGTGAGGTATAAAAGAGTCACAAATAGTAGGATAAATACAAGAGTTTCAGGAAGGATCTCGTTAATCTGAACTCCGATAAAGGTTCCAAGCATGACCAAAGGCATCTGACAAGTCACTATTCCATAATCAATTGCTGTAGCATCTTTTAAGGGATGTTTGTTTTTGAAGTTCCTGATATATCTTGTCAATCATCCAAAAAAGATGACAAAATTTGACATAGCAATAGATTCCTTAGCTGAAAATTGGAACAGAGTAACGTTGATTGTTACAATGATACCTCCTCCACCAATACCAGCAGCATTACATAAAGAAATGGCTACTGCAAGAATCAAAGCACCAAGAAGTTCTCTCCATTCAGCTGGGAACACTCCTTTATGCACTCAGTATTTATCTTTTCCGTAATCTTTTCAGACAAAAATCGGGGAGTTATCACAGTAATAATCTATATCTCCTTCCTTTTCTTTTGTTTTACAGAGGTCAGAGTCAGGGGTCTTTGAACTGGCAAGCACAACCAACAAGAGGAGGATAAAAAGATTCCTATGTACGGCTCTCATATTTTTAATAGGTTAATTAAATATAAATGAGTTAACTTCAAAATTAATACGACCGCTTGGGGTTTTGGGGTTTTGGGGTTTTGGGGTTTTGGGGTTTTGGGGTTTTGGGGTTTTGGGG